GACCTGAGCAATCTGCCCCGGGGCCTCAGCCTCCCAGTCTCGTGTCAATTTCTTGTCTTTCCCACTGGGGCTTTATCTTATTGTTGTGTTGGACTAACACAAAAAAGCTCTTTTCGAGTGAGGAATCACTGCAGAGTCTCCACTGGCATCTATACTTCAGGAGAGCTGGGGAGCCAGCAGTGTTGTGCCTTGCCCCTGGGTGCCTGTCTGAGTTGTGTGAGGATCATGTTCTGGTGAAGACTCAGCCATGTATGGTTGGTCACATTAAGGAAAGTCCAAGGGAGGTTTCGACTCCTTCCTTATAACATCATTTTTAATTCTTTTTGTAGGATGGGGACAGCGTGCAGTGTTTTTTGTGTTTAAGAATACCATTTGGCTGGGTGCAGTGGCTCATGCCTGTAATCCTGCACTCTGACGATGGGGAGGCGCAGTGGATGTTTGAGCTGCTTTCCTTAATGTGACACAAACATCAGGCTGAGTCTCCCAGACATGATTCACTCCCAACGCCAGTACAGGCTACCCAGAGCAGGCAGGCCCACAACACTGCTGGCATCCCCAGCCCTCTCCTGAAGTATGTGCCGTGAGCTCTGCCACAGTGTCTCCTTTCACCTCGAAAAAGAGCTTTTTTGTGTTTGTCCTCCTCCTATGATAGCCCCAGTGTGGAAAGACAAGAAAATTGGACACTGAGGACTGGGAGGCTGAGGCGGGCAGATTGCCCTCACAGGGTCAGCGGAGGTCAGGAGTTCAAAACCAGCCTAAGCAAGAGTGAGACCCCATCTCTACTATAAATAGAAAGAAATTAATTGGCCAACTAATATATATAGAAAAAATTAGCAGGGCGTTGTGGCGCATGCCTGTAGTCCCAGCTACTTGGGAGGCTCAGGCTGGAGGATCGCTTGAGCCCAGGAGTTTGAGGTTGCTGTGAGCTAGGCTGACACCAGGGTACTCTCTCTAGCCTGGGCAACAAAGCAAGACTCTGTCTCAAAGAAAAAAGAAAATGACAGAGGAGCCTGGGGGAGGGAGGGAATTCACAGCTCTCAGGCAAGACTTAACAAGACTTAAACCTGTGCCTTCACTGTGTACACACCAGATGGGGGAGAGGGACAGGTTTATCTCTGCTGCAGGGGCTCTCAGCCCAGGGGCAGCAGTCCTGATGTGGTAGTTGGAGAACAGTCAGGTCACAATGGCCTAAACCATCACTCCCTCCCCCAAGACAAAACAGCAGGGCTGAAATTAACTGAAATTAAGGCTGCAGAGCAAAGCCCAGTGCAGAAAGGAGAGGCCTCCCCAGGCCCTGGGACTCTCCCTAACCCCTTAGGCTCTGGACAATTGGTTACAAACTGACTGGCTTCCTCCCCTTTCCTACTCTTCTTTAGGCAGAAGCTGTTTTTCTGAAAATTTAATCACCTGTGATTTGTTCAGAAATATTCCCCCTGAAGGCCTCTGATCTCTCAACCATGTGCGAGCCTAATTCTAGAAGGTGAAATGGCTATTTGCTGCTGCCTGTTTCACAAACACACAGGAATCACTTAAATGTGCCTCTTTTTCCTCAACACCAGTGAGAGGAAGGACAATGTGAGCAAAGCACAGAGACGATCCAACCCTAATTCACATCAAGGGCAAAGACAGCAGGATGGGTTTTCCAAACAGGACAGGGTCATGCACCCTTCCACAGGGACAAGGATAGCAGTCAAGGTCCTGGCCCAGGGATCCCTCCACCTTGAAGAGAAAGATAAGGTGGAAAGGTTCAGGAAATGTGACCTGAAGTCTGTTAGTAGCTGTGAAAATGAATAATTCAAACTCTAAAGCAATGTGATTATTGAGTGAGAGTTACATGATCTTCCTTCTTTTCTTTTTTTTTTTTTTTTTTTTGAGTCAGAGTCTCACTCTCTCACCTGGGCTAGAGTGTCATGGTATCAGCCTAGCTCACAGCAACCTCAAACTCCTGGCTTAAGTATCCTTATGCTCAGCCATCCCCGAAAGACTGCTTGCCCACCATGCCTGGCTAATTTTTTTCTATATATATTAGTTGGCCAATTAATTTCTTTGTATTTTTAGTAGAGACAGGGTCTCACTCCTGCTCAGGCTGGTTTTGAACTCCTGACCTTTAGCGATCCACCCTCCTAGGCCTCCCGGAGTGCTAGGATTACAGGTGTGAGCCACCTTGTCTGCCGGCCCATGACCTTCTTTTCTATGATTAGAGATTAGCCTTCTTCCTTACCTACAATGTTTTGTATAATGTTGTAAATGACAAAAGTGACTGAGAGAAGACCAATTCCATGTGTACGGCTGATCTTCATTATGAAACTGCCTGTATTAAAACAATATAGTAACATAAGGCAGGAACTGTGGTAGAAGTTTGCTTTCTGTAGAAGTATAGGCATAGCTTAAAGTTAGCTAGCCATTGTTTCATAGCTTGCTTTCCTTTCATTGCTTACTGCTTAGGAGTCACCTATTCGTGGCTGTCACAAGATTTATATCTTCCCTAATCTGTTCTGTAGATAATGGCGCTATTGTAAAATCTAAGACTGGTCTTGCTCTGTCACCCTGGCTACAGTGCAGTGGCGTCATCATGGCTCACTATAACCTCAAACTTCTGGGCTCAAGCAATCCTCCTGCCTCAGCCTCCTGAGTTGCTGGGACTACAGGTATATGCCACCATGCGTGGCTAATTTTTTCTATTTTTTATGGAGACAGGATCTAGTTCTTGTTCAGGCTGGTCTTGAACCCCTGAACTGAAGCGGTCCTCTCACCTTGGCCTTCCAGAAGAGTGTGAGCCACCGCACCTGGCTCTAAGACTGGTTTTTGATATATCTTCCAGACTTTGCATTCCTGCATTTGGGTGGACCAACTGAGCCCAACCAGATCAGGGGCCATCCTTCCATACTTAGGAAGTGACTGAAGACGTCTTGCAACTCTCTAACTAGCAACCAACTCAACACAAGCCTAGGGGTTCATCCCCAGCCACTCAGCAGACCCAATTCCCTGGACCTTTGCCCACCAAGTTATCATTAAAATCCCTGGCCCCCAAATTCTCAGGCAGGCAGACTTGAGAAATTTCTCCTGTTAGTGGTCTAGTCACTTTGGGCCCTGCAATATTGGAACCATCCCTATGAAAATAATACAGAGCCACAAGGTATAAGTAGTAATCAAAGTCTGATTTTTATAAAAGTATAGGTATAGCTAGAAGTTAACCAGCCATTGTTCCCTAACTCCCTTGCTGCTGTTTTTGGTCATGACTTAATGGCACTATCCTTTGTGACAGGTGCAAGATTAGTGACTCCTTCCCACTACTTCTACAGATAACATTTGCTGTCATAAATCCCAGGACTTGTGATTCGATAGATAACATTGCTGTTGCAAATCTTAAGACTGGTCGTTGAAGGGTTGTTCAGACTCTATGATGACACCACTGCACTCTAGCCTGGGTGACAGAGCAAGACCTTTTCTCAATGAAAACAATAAAGATGGAATATTAAATATATGCTTTTAAACTGGAAAGGAAATGAAACATGCTAAAAGAAAATTTAAAAAAGTGGAGGCTGGGCACAGTGGCTTGCACCTGTAGTCCCAGCTACTCAGGAGGCTGATGCAGGAGGATCACCTGAGCTCCCCCCCACACACACTCTCTTGGCTGCGCGCCAAACTCCAACCCCACTTCCTCCTCCCGGCGCCGCTTCTTCTGGCAACAGCAGCAAATCCCCACGCCCCGGGCCCCAGCAGAGCCATCGCCCCTTTCCTCCCCCACCCCGGCTCCACGCAGAGCTCCAGACTCGCCGTGCGACCTGTTCGGATCCCCCGACTTCCCCCTCCCGGGGTCCCGGCCCACGGAGCCAGTTCTGCTGCGGGGCCCAGGCCGCCATCTGGCCGTCCCTTGCTCCCCACCCGCGTCTGGCTCCGCAAGCTCCGGCCCGCCGTGCCACTGCGTCCCCGGCCCACGTGCACATGCGGTGGCGGGGCTCGCGCTTTCCGAGGTGGTGGTGCCCGGTCCGTTTCTTGACAGTGTTTTGGGGGCGGCACGCGTAGGGCCGCTGCGGTCAGGCTGTGATTTCAATAATTTCCAATATGAAGATTATCTGTGAGGTCAGAGTCAGAGAAAGACTTGTTTGGGGTTTCTCCCGGAGAAAGGGTTGATGACTTTGACAGGGAATTTAGGTCGGAAGCTGACTGGGCCTGAGAGTTTCGCGTTTCCTCTCTGTGAGGAGGGGCCGGAGGGAAGGGGGGAGCCTCGGCCAGGCCTCATCCCACGCCCCCGACCCCAGGAGAACGCGGGCCCTCCGGACTGTTCCCGTCCGGCGTGCTCTGGGCCCCCTCCTGCTTGCGACAGGAGAGTCTGGAGCTCCTTGCACACACTTGTGAGCACTTCTAGGAGGAAGAAGCAGGAACAGGCAGCCCGTCGGGCGAGGAGGAGGCGACAATACCCCTTCTACCGCTGTGCAGAAAGTTCCGCGGCATTGCGAATATCCAGGGCGCAGGGCGCAGGGCGCAGGGCGGGAGCTGTGCCTCCGAGGGGCTGTGGCTACGACCTGTCAGTCAGTCTCCGCAGGTTCCAGTTCCCCGGCGCTTCACCTGTCTGTCAAGACGGAGGGGGCGGGGCCGGGAACGCTATCCAATCAGGGGCGGCGGGGCGGGGCCCCGTGAACAGTACATTCAAACGGGAGGGGGACTAGGAGGTGACCTTTAACCTCTCTGCACTGCCCGGTGGGTTGCTTTGCAGCACTTCAGGTGTGGGTTCGCCTCTCCGGGAGTCCCCAGGTGCCTCCGCCACTGCTTCTTGTCGCGCCGCCACCTGCGCTGTGGCCTGCAGTGGTCGCGGGAGCCGTAGAGAGGACGCTGGGACACCTGGAGGCCGGGAAATGGTGAGTGTCCGGGGCCGGGCGTCCCCAAACCGGGAGCAGGGCTGGTTGGAACCGGCTGGAACCGGCTGTGGCGGGACTCGGGCCACCCCAAGGTCCGCTCCGGAGTCTGCGGACTCGAGTCACCGCTGGCGCAGCTCGGCCCTCGGTCCCTCCGGCCAGCGGGGTGGGGCCGGGCCGGCAGTCGTGCCCCCGGGCGTCCTGTCAGGTCCCTGCGCGGCGACCCCGGCCCGGCGCCCTCTCTGGGAGCCCCGCGCGTCCCCAGATTGTGCGGTGACGGCAGGAGGGTCGTGGGGGAGGGTCCCGACTCTGTGTGCAGGGGGTGGGGGCGAAGCTGCGGTCTGTGGGGTCCCCAATCCCTTCTTTCTCCTCTTAAAAACTAAATTGAGGCCTTGTGGTTAACGGGAAAAAGCAAAACTCTCTAAATAGGTTGATTCTCTGCAGAAAATGAGGGGCAGAAACCTAAGAAGTCTCGAACGAGGCAGTTTGTTTTGATACATTTCAGGAGGACAGAAAGTGCAGGTAAAATCAAATCAATACATGGACAGTATATATTGGTGTGGCCCCCAAAAGAGGGACATCTGGAAGCGGGGATTTACAAACTATAGGTGAGTTTGGGGATTCTTTTGTTGACAATAGATTGAGAGTGTTAAGCTTTGTCTGAAAATCAGAAGGAAGGAATGCTTAAGTTAGAATAAGGGAGTCTATTAACTGTCATGTGATACCATGCCCACAAACCCAAAATACAACAACAAAAAAACCCTGTTTAACTAGGTTTTATGGCTTGTAAAGCTGACTTAACCCTTGACTTGCATGGCCTTAGGTCTTGTTTTCAATTTGTTAAATTATTGCCACACACACTCTGATTTTGTTAGTGTTAAGATTTGTTTTAACATTAATGTTGGTCAATTGCATATAAACTCTGAAAAGGAGATGGTCTAACAAGGAGTGTCCGACCTCTCTTCCCATCAGGGCTGGGAACTCAGTGTTAAGGTTTTCCTCGGGAACTTTTGGCCAACAGGGGAATCTGTTCAGTCAATTGGGGGCTTCAGGATTTATTTTTAGTTTACAGGTTGAAGGAAATGTTTTTATGAGGTGTATGAGTAGCCAACCCAGATTAAATACTTGATTGGTGACAGTGATGTAGTGGCCTTATTTGGACTTGTCACTCTGAAATTAGCAAAAGGATCAGAATCCAGTTATTTATTTTTTAAAATTGAGACAGAGTCTTGTTTTGTTGCCTGGGCTAGAGTGCAATGGTGTCATCCTAGCTCACTGCAACCTCAAACTCCTGTACTCAAGCGATCCTCTTGCCTCAGCCTCCTGAGTAGCTGGGACTACAGGTGCACCCCACCACACCTGGCTAATTTTTCTACTTTTTGTAGAGACAGGGTCTCATCCTTGCTTGGGCTGGTATCAAACTCCTGGCTTCAAGCCATCCTCCCACCTCTGCCTTCCAAAGTGCTAGGATTACTGGTGTGAACCACCACGCCCAGCCAGAATCCAGTTTTAAAGATTTTATTCAAGCAAAAACTTGGGTATGGCCATTTGGGAAAACACAGTCTCCAGAAGAATGAGCTCAGTGCTCCAAAGTTAAAAGTGAAATTCTTGCTTATGTAGGCAAAAGCCAATAAAAGGTAACAGGATTACAACATTTTGCATGCAAGGCTGGATTCTGAGGTACTAGAGTTTAATTAGTTATAATTTGTATTTTTTCCCATGGAATTTAGTTTTCTGGCTGCTCAGGTTTCCCTCCCATACTGCCTTGGAGTGAGCCACCCTGGGCTCCATCTGCAGGGTCAGGGTGGGTCCTAAGCATGGGAATGTGCTGACCTATGGGAGTGTGGGGTCCCTTGTGAACTGGGGGTGATGCAGCCTGCCTGCCTGAGCTGCTTCCCTTTGGTTTCCTTTGCTGCCATCTATTTGTTCTGTACCCAAGGATTTGAGAATTTTCTTTCAAGATTTGTGTGCAGTAATTTTATTCACTTGGTTGGAACCTGAGTGGATTGTGTGATCAGGTCTGATCACACCAGACAGAATTCTTACAATAAATTGTTTGATGCTAAGTGGAAATAGTAAGAACACAAATACCCAGGTACACACCATCCAGGGAATTCAATAGACCATGGGCAGTTCTGGTGTGCCTCCCTGATCTTACCTCCCTTTGGCACCCAGAGGTGCCAAAATTGTGACCAAAATTGTGATTTGTTTTGTTATTCTTTATAGCTTTATCATACCTCAATTTATTCTGTATAGCTTTATTATCTCTTAATCAAGATGTAGAGTTTTGCCTCTTTTGAGTTTTCAGTGACTTAATATTACCATTTATATGCTGTTAATATTATGCCGATACAGTCTATTTCTGGTTTTCTTGTATTTGTTTGTTGCAAACATGCAGCTTTGAATTCATGGGTCACCTAGTTTACTGATGCTATACACTGCTTATGGGACTTGGGTTGTTTCAGTTTATTTTTTGATCTTGTTGAAAATATCATTCTTGTTTTTGCCTCCAATGTTTTGCCCCCATTCTTGTTTTTGCAACATGAATTTCTTACCCATTGGGGAAAAAATTGCTGGGTTGTAGATGGATAAATTCCAGTTTACTAGGAAATGCTGATAAAGTGTGTGTCTGAATTAACCATCTCACCTTTCATGCATGTGTGTTCATTCTTCTGATTTATCAACACTTGAAATTATCTAACTCATTCCTTTTCCACCATTTAGTGTTGAATAGAATCTCTTTGTGAATATTTATTGCTGGTTGCCATTGGTTGAGCATTTTTCATATGTGATTATGCATCTTTTGCAAAATAATTTTCAGTCATTTTCTCACAATTTACTCATTTGTAGGTTTATTGCTTTTTTTTTTTTTGAGACAGAGTCTCGCTTTGTTGCCCAGGCTAGAGTGAGTGCCATGGTGTCAGCCTAGCTCATAGCAACCTCAAACTCCTGGGCTCAAGCAATCCTATTGCTTCAGCCTCCAGAGTGGCTGGGACTACAGGCATGCACCACCATGCCCGGCTGATTTTTTTCTATATATATTAGTTGTCCAATTAATTTCTTTCTATTTATAGTAGAGACGAGGTCTCGCTCTTGCTCAGTGTGGTTTTGAACTCCTGACTTGGAGCGATGGCCAATTCGCCCGCCTCAGCCTCCCAGAGAGCTAGGATTACAGGCGTGAGCCACCCCGCCCGGCGCTTTTTTTTTTTTTTTAACATACCCCGAACGCTATTTCTTTTTCATTCCTAGAGTCAGCAAATATTTTCTTTCAGGTTGTGGTTTATCTTTTCATTCTATTCTTCCTTTTGATGGACTCTTCTTATTTTAATAAAATTGAATTCATCATTCTTTTCATTGGTGCCTTCTTTATTGTCTTAGATAAGAAAACATTCCCTACTTTGAATTCATAAAATTTGCCTATAACTGGCCTCATGAGATCCTCTCACCTCAACCTCCCAAGTATTTTTTTTTTTTTTTTTTTGAGATCACTTGTCAAGGCTAGAAGTGGATGCCGTGGTGTCAGCCTACTCATAGCAACCTCAAACTCCTGGGCTCAAGCATCCTATTGCTTCAGCCTCCAGAGTGGCTGGGACTACAGGCATGCACCACCATGCCCGGCTGATTTTTTTCTATATATATTAGTTGTCCAATTAATTTCTTTCTATTTATAGTAGAGACGAGGTCTCGCTCTTGCTCAGTGTGGTTTTGAACTCCTGGCCTCGAGCAATCCACCAGCCTCGGCCTCCCAGAGTGCTAGGATTACAGGCATGCCCAGCCGCCTCCCAAGTATTATAGCTAGGACTACAGGTGTACTCCACCTCAAGTAGTTTCCTAATTTCAATGAAAAACAAACAAACCTGGTTTGAATTTCATGGAATTTGCTACAACACTAGATGCATTTCAGAGAGGTTATATCATGAGGATATTCAGTCTCCTTTCTAAGGACATATGACATCTTTTCATTTATTTCATTATACATTGATGTCTTCCAATGTATACTTTTTGTATTATCATTTTTACATAACCCTTTTAGGGACTTTAGGGAAATAAGTTTAATAAAATTACAATAGTTTTGGGGGTTTTTGTTTGTTTTAAGATATAGGGTCTCACACTGTCACCCAGTCTAGAGCGGAATGGCCTGATTGTAGGACACTGCAACCTGGGCTTAAGCAATCCTCCCACCTAAGGTTGTTCTTCTTCTTTTTTTTTAAGCTTCTTGTGTATCTAGGACTCCAAGGGGGTCACCATGCCTGCTATTTTTTTTTCTTCATTTTTTTTATAGATATAGAGTACCACTATGTTACTCAGGCTGGTCTCAAAGGATCTGCTTCCTCAGCCTCCCAAAGTGCTAGGATTACAGGCATGAGCCACTGCCCTTGGCCTTGTTTATATTTTAAGTGGTTGTTTTCTTCTTGAGGATTAGGAGTTCTTTGTACATTATGGGTAGCAGGCCTTTATCAGATAGATGTTTTGCAAATATTTTGTCCCAGTCTTCAGCCTGTCTTTCATTCTATTATAACTGTCTTTTGCAAAATAAAGCCTTAATTTAAATGAAGGCTAAATTTTCAATTTTTTCCTTCATAGATCTTGTTTGTGGTGTTGCATTTAAAACCTTGCTTGGCTGGGTACAGTGGCTCACGCCTGTAATCCTAGCACTAGCACTCTGGGAGGCTGAGGCAGACAGATTATTTGAGCTCAAGGGTTTGAGACCAGCCTGAGCAAGAGCAAGACCCTGTCTCTACTAAAAATAGAAGTTAACTGGCCTACTAAAAAAAATATATAGAAAAAATTAGCCGGACATGGTGGCACATGAAAATTTAGTCTAAGCTAATACGAGTTAAGTATTCTTAATTGTGCAATTAGTTGAATAGTGTTAAGTATACTCATTTTGTTGTGTGACCAATCTCCAGAAATTTTTCATCTTGTAATGCTCAAATTTTATACCCATTGAACACCACATCCCATTTCCCCTTCCTCTCAGCCACTGGCAAGTACCATTCCACTTCCATTTTTGAGTTTAATGACTTTACGCAACTTATGTAAGATGAATGATATTGTATTTTTCTTTTTGTCAGTGGCTTTTGCAGTTAGCATTCCATCCTGAAGTTTCATGCATGTTGTAGCATGGACCAGGATGTCATTTTGTAAGACTCAATAATTTCTCATTGCATATATGAAATATTTGTTTATTCATTCTTCCATCAGTGGACACTTGCGTTGATCCACTTCTTGGCTGTTGTCAACAATGGTTTTTAAATATCTTTCTTTCAGATTTTGCTTTTAGTTCGTTTAAATTGAATATAAATTTTCTGGGACATGGCTTGCTGGAATACATGATAATTATTAATGTTTGAGGAACCTACCATACTCTTTTTTCCATAGGGGCTGAGCCATTCTATATTCCATTAAACAATGACATGGGTCCTAAACTCACCAAAACTTTTTATTTGGGGTGTTTGAATTATTTTTTTTTGTAGGTGAGACTTAGGAGCTTTTGACCTTGCCACATGATTTGCCAGTATTTTCTCCAGTTTCATGTATTGCCTATATTCTTTGTTGTTAATGCCCTCTGATACACAAACATTAATTTTTTTCTTTTTTTGAGACAGGGTTTTGCCGTGACCTAGAAGTGCAATAGTGTCATCATTCTCACTGCAGCCTCAAATTCCTGGCCTCAAGCATCCTTATGCCTTAGCCCCCCAAGTAGCTGGGATCACAGATACCAACAGCCCCGCCCAACTAGCTTTTAAAATTTTTTGTAGATATGGGGTCTGATTGTTTCCAGGCTGGTTTTGAACTCCTGGCCTCAAGCAATCTCCCACCTTGGCCTCCCAATGTGATGTGAGCCACCACACCCTGCCCAAACATTTTTTAATTTTTATAAATCATACTTGCTTTTTTCTTATGACCAGACTCCCTGGAGTTTGTGCCTCTCAACATTGCCCCCATTCATCTTTCAGCTATACATCAATTATAATTTAGATTTTCCTATCTCAGTACTGTTTCCCATAAAAGTTTCTGTTCATGGGTTTCTGTTTCACTAAATTATAACTCTCTTATTAGTTAGGCTTGTAAGGTCCCATCTAAAAACCATCAAAATGCTAAATTTTGTTAATGAACATTTTCAAGGATGCAATGTCTCAGGATTGCTAGTGCTAACTTTTTTCTCCACACTAAAGGGTAGGACTTTGATATTACAGATGCTACAGATCCACTTTAGAGGGAGATAATAGTGGTGACCCAGGCAACACATCTTTCTCCCTGGATTCATCATGAAGGGACATTTTTCTGTTCTGTTGCTTTACCGAGTGTTCCATTCTAGCATTGTAACTGCTGTGTGGGAGGAAGTGAGTGTGGACACAGAGTAACAGTCTGATGACCAAGCATGGAATAAATGTTGGGAGTCGGCCAGGCGCGATGGCTCATGCTTGTAATCCTGGCACTCTGGGAGGCTGAGGTGGGCGGATTGCTGGAGGTCAGGAGTTCGAAACCAGCCTGAGCAAGAGCGAGACCCTTGTCTCTACTATAAACAGAAAGAAATTAATTGACCAACTAAAAATATATATACAAAAAAATTAGCCGGGCATGGTGGTGCATGCCTGTAGTCCCAGCTATTCAGGAGGCTGAGTCAGGAGGATTGCTTGAGCCCAGGAGTTTGAGGTTGCTGTGAGCTAGGCTGATGCCATGGCACTCACTTTAGCCTGGGCAACAGAGTGAGACTCTGTCTCAAAAAATAAAGAAAGAAAGAAATGTTGGGAGTCCACAGAAGCATGTGAACTTCTACAAAATAGAGCATAGGTTCCCAAAGCTACGAATCTCACCCATTCTCCTCAACACTTTTGGAATGTTTCAGGACTCAGTGACCTTTGAGGATGTAGCTGTGAACTTCACCCTGGAGGAGTGGGCTTTGCTGGAACCATGCCAGAAGAATCTCTATAGAGAAGTGATGGGGGAAACCTTTAAGAACCTGGCCACTATAGGTAAGGGTGACAACATTCCTTCACTCAGTGAATTAGAGAACAAATGTTTCTTACTTACAAGTGCTGTTCAGTGATTTGGAATATGGACAGGTCATACTTTGGTGAATAAATCAGGCATGGGCTCAGTGTACTATGACCATAGAATCTAATATTATTTAATAATTGTAACAATTAAGGGCTATATTTCTGGGTCTGTATTTTAGGAAAAGAATGGATAGACCAGAGCTTTGAAGACCACAGTAAAAATTCCCGGAGAAATCTAAGGTAATTTGTACTCACAAGACTAAGCAGTGTCTCTACAGAGAATCTTAGAATGTAAACAAATGTTTAAAAAAGCAAAACAAAACAAACCATGTGCTCAGCATCAAATTAATTTATTGTTAGAAAATTTTCTCTTGAAATGTATACTTAAATTTCATACCGATGTTTGTGAAATAGTTTATGGGAGATAGTATTAAGAAATTCTATACAATTATTATGTTTTTAAAATTGGTATGAATTATTCATCTTGCAGAGCATGTGGTCCACTCATGTTGGAACAATTCATACAGGATAGAAAGCCTCCTCTTTCCTTGAGAATGTTAAAAGTGCAAGCAAGTATAATACAATTAATAAATAGAAAATCATTTATAAATGAACTCTTAACAATATGCTTCTCATTTTCTACAGAAATCTTATTGGAAAGACACTCTTAGAATGTAAAGAAGGTAGTCGGTGTGGAGAAACCTTCAGTCAGATTCCAGATCATATGCTCAACAAGAAAACTCCTTCTGGAGTAAAACCATGTGAAAGTAATGTGTATGAAAAAGTCTCCATTGGTCATTCATCTTTTTTTACGCCCACGAAAGCTAACATTGCACACAACCTATCTGAGTATAAGGAATGTAGACAAAAGCCATATACACATAAGCAGCGTGAGAAAGCCTTCAGTTATCGGCACTCCTTTGGAACACATGAAAGGTCCTCCACTGGAAAGAAACTCTATGATTGTAAGGAATGTGGAAAAACCTTCATTTCTCTCACAGGCTTTCGAAATCACATGGTACTGCACAGTGGAGATGGACCTCATAAATGTATGCTTTGTGGAAAAGCATTTGCGTTTCGCAGTTTATATCGTAAACATGAAAGAATTCACACTGGAGAGAAACCATATAAATGTAAACAATGTGGTAAAGCTTTCCGTACCCCCGGTTCTGTTAGAACACATGAAATAAATCACACCGGAGAGAAGACATATGAATGTAAGGAGTGTGGGAAAGCATTCATTCATTTCAGTTCCATGCTTATACATGAAAGGACGCACACTGGAGAAAAACCTTATGAATGTGAGCAGTGTGGGAAAGCATTTGCTCAGCGGAGGAGCATTCAGTGGCACATGAGAATGCACAGTGGAGACAGACCTCATGAATGTAAGATATGTGGGAAAGCCTTTTATTCTCCTGGTTCACTTCAAAGACATGAAAGAAGTCACACTGGAGAAAAACCCTATGAATGTAAGCAATGCGGTAAAGCCTTAAGTTCTTCCACTTCCTTGCGATATCATGAAAGAATTCACACTGGTGAGAAACCCTATGAATGTAAGCACTGTGGTAAAGCCTTCAGGTCTGGCAAGTTTATTAGAATACATGAAAGGACTCACACTGGAGAGAAGCCCTATGAATGTAAGCAATGTGGGAATGCCTTCCATTGTGTCCGCTCCTTTCGTAGACATGAAAGGATTCACACTGGAGAGAAACCCTATGAATGTAAGCAATGTGGTAAAACCTTCACTTCTTCCACTTCCTTTCAAATACATGAAAGAATTCACACTGGGAAAATCAAGCCTAGCTCACAACCTCAAACCCTGGGCTCAAGCGATCCTGCTGCTCAGCCTCCCAAGTAGCTGGACTACAGGCATGTGCCATCATGCCTGGCTCATTTTTTTCTATGTATATTAGTTGGCCAATTCAATTTCTTCTATTTATATAGTAGAGAGAGGTCTCGCTCTTGCTCAGGCTGATTTCAACGCCCTGACCTCAGAGATACGCCCACCTCAGCTCCCACCAGGTTGCTAGGTTTACAGGTGTGAGCCACGGTGCCCGTGAGGCCTCTTCCTTTGATCCAAGTCACACTCTCTAGAATCTTGACAGTCAGTGGTCTGCACTGTTCATCTGTGGCTACTTCAGCGAGGCTGGACATGTCATCTGATACAGTGAGAGGTTTGGTCACTGATTGCTGCTCTCTTCTGTAATACCTGAGTTTTATCTCTATAAAATTTTAAAATAGGCTTTTCTGAAGATGAGCTTGGCTGGCACCTTCAAGGAAGTGATTGGATTATTCAATGCCAGTTATATGAACAAAAAACTAACTTCTTCCATGTTGCGCTATTCTACAGTGCTGGCATTAAGAGGCTGGGTATATATTAGCATCATAAGCTTATTATATACGCAAAAAAAGCTTGGTTAGCATGATGATGCTGATTTTTTTCCTACCAAGGCTTCCATTCAGTTGGACAATGCAATAAACATATTGGCTCACCTTGCGTACTCGGTATAAGTTTTTTTTTTTTAAAGAATTATATAGCTTCCTAAGAAGAAAGTGAATTGATATATTTCAAACTGGAGAGTCCCTTTATGCAAAATGTATCTGTACATTCATAGGAAGTCTATTTCGTTGCCAGTGAGGGCAGAACATACCTGAATGTCTGAAGCTGGCCTCCTCACCCAAGATAAGTTTTGGTGCTGTTGGAAAAAACATGTCATACACTGAGCATGCCACAATGCTCTCAGGGACCATGAGCGAAGACAAAAACAAGCATTTTGTATGTGTCTAAATTTAATAGAAGAACATTCCATCAAATCACTAGAATGACTTTATTCCGTTCATGATTGTGACCTGGACTGGCAATTCTAAATATTTAGGTAATACTCCACTCCCTCTTTTCTACCTTCTTAGCCAAGAGATCGAGGGAAGAATATTCACATCTTAGCTGCATCAATTACAGGCAATGATTCAACCTTCTATGCAATAGCAATCAGTACACCCGTAAAACACAAATTTTTATAAGAGATTCTATTGAGAACCCTCCCCCCTGATATATGTCACATATTTATAGCTTACAGCCAGCATATGCTTGCTGCCATTTATTCTACCTCTTTTGGACAACAGCATGATACTGGTAGATCTCTTGCCAACATAGAGCACGGTTACCCAACCTTCTTGGCCCCAAGGGCTTTCAAGGAAGACAAATTTTTCCAATGGGGGGGGGGAGGTGGTTTTGGGATGATTCAAGCACATTACAGTTTTTTGGTGCACTTATTTCCATTATTATTACACTGTAGAATATATAATGAAATAAATTATACAACTCATCTTAGGTTGGGGACCCCAGCAATAGAGAATTCGTAACAGCATGAGTTAGATGCTGGGATTATTATGACTGAAGGAAAATTAAGGATAAGATAAAAATTGTGAGTATATTAATTAGCATGAAAGTAAAATGTACAAAGGGAAAAGAAAAGGCTGAAC